TCCTGAAGAGCAGGATGTGCGGAAATAAATATCGAAATGTTCCTTGAATTTGTTCAAAGTGTAAAATATATTCGCAACGCGCGATGTTCGTAACGCTTAACGTTCTTCGAACATGCAATAAAATCTTGTCGGAATGCGATCCGTGGATCGTAACGAGTGCGTAAAAATTGAAAACATGGCGTGTACTAAGAAGTATCTTCTTCGGACATACTAATCTGAATGAACAGAATAGTAAAACAGAATAGTAAAATCGTGAAAGATTTCTTGCGCGATGAATCAATTATATACATATGAAGTCATTTTAAGTCAAATCCTTCACAACAGAGAATAAGAATCAATTTTCTTTTTTTTTTATTTTGGAAAATATTTTTTTTTATCAAACTGGCAATTTTTAAAAAGAATTATATAGAGAATTATATTTTTTAAATTTTTATAGCATTTTTAACTTAATTTTCAACACATATATTATATACATACATATATTATATACATACATGTACGTACTTTATACATATTTATTCTTATTTTTATATATATTACACATATATATTTTTATTCTTTTCTGAAATTAAATTATCATTCATTATTATTCACAAAAGTGTGATTGTATTAGAAGACTATGGATGTGTGGATGTAGGTGTCCGCGTGAGTGTTGATTCAGGTTTACGAGTTCGCCAAACCCACATGACTCTGTAAATCAATTATCCCTGCGGGAGCATTTAGCGATACTCTTTCAATCGTTAAAATACGTCACGTGTACAATATCTAAGCTACCCGCGCCTTTTATTGCGGAGTCCTACGTAATACGGAGCGCGATTAAAGGCACAAGTGGGACGAAATATTTTTCCATGCATTTCAAAGGAGAGTCTTTCGTCATTCGTCACGGCGCGGGATTGATATCCAATGATTGTGATGGCTTATTAACGATACAATATCTCATTACTTATGAATGGAGCGGAACATCGGGGGACGCAGGCGGCGAGCGTTTGTGCGGGCGCACAATGTAACGGCACAGTTTCTGCGAACGAGAAACCGCGCACTCGAGCACTCGAGGAGGCCCATAAATTATTGCCACGCGTTCCTCCAATCGCTGCACTCGCGGATCCGCGATGAAAAATCCCGTGGCCAATGGCGGGAGAGAGAATGCTCGGTGGATTATGCTTGCACGTGTAACTGCTGCCTCCAATCGCCTAAGCGCACGGTAGAAGGATTGAGAATTTTTTTATTGGGGTCGCCGCGCGTTCACCACCAATTCGTGCCAATATCGTTTTTTTTACCATGCGTTCTACGATTCGCTAGCCTCGTATTTCTGGCGCGCGCGCGCACACACATCTTTTAAATATAATAACACCTTTGCTTAGATCTTTCCCCGATGTGTGTACCCTGTAAATGTACCCTGTAAGTGTTCTCGATGGTAGTGATAAATAACGCGCACCGATTAGACGCGACCATTGAGACCTAAAATGTCGGGATTTTAATTAACTGTTTATCCGCGTTTCGTTGCGGGGATTAGTAATCTCGCGCGGTAAACAAGCCGATAAATTCTCGGAGAAAGTTCCCTTTTTAAACGTCTTTAAACAAGAAGAGAAATGAAAGAAACACAGCACAAAAGGAAAAAAAAAAAACAACATGAGATTATGAGGTTGAAATGTAATACAAAGAAATGTAATACATCCTTAAATTCTCGTTATCAAAATTTCGATCGAAATTCGATGCCACTGATGCAATTTTATGTACGACACGTTTCTTCAACGCATCTTCTTCCAAGAGTCTTATGGACTCCTAAACACCTTTGAGAGTCAAAATGATTCATTGATATCGCTAAGTAACTTACACGTGTGTGCACGCGCATGCGAGATCGATCCTCTGAATTGATTTTTCGAACTGGTGACTCGCGACAGAAAAGGAGAGATTGGGACAGGCGTCACCCACGTGGCGCGCGAGGAGACATAAACACGTCGGCCGATAAGCCGCGTCCTCGCGCGACGTCGGGGTTCCTTCTCGGGGTTCCTCGAATCTTATCGGTATACCCGGGGTATATCGTAGGTACGGATACACGTATATCGCAACGCGGGGCCCGAAGTGCATTCCGGGAGGCGATGAGATACGAAGCGGAGGACTATATAGTCGCGCGCCCCGGTGTGTAGCGTCATCGCCGATGCGTTATGGGACTCTAATTGCGTCACAAATTATTTTCCGCCGCTTCCACGTGGGAGGGACGGTATTTTCCCCTCCTCCGTTGAGAGATACACCGTGACGGCGAAAGATAACCGGAATAAGAGAGGAGAAAAGTGAATGTTACTTTATCGCTACTTTGAATAAATTTTAAGTAACTTTTGGAATTAAAATGTTGTTGGTTTAATTGACATTATCAGCTTTACGATATTATTAATGCGACTATTACACCAACGATATGGGTAGCGTAACGCATCTTTAGCAATTATTATACGATTGGTCTTTTCTGTAACTTATTAAACATTTTGACGATCGTAAGTGCGAGGTAAGTAGAATCTTATTAATAATTTTTACTAAACGATAAATAACAAATGAAAATTGTCTTTAGATAAGGAATATATATGTTGGCTTATTTCGAATGCAAAAAGGAAAGAAAATAAAAGTTATACATAAAGTACGTTTACTCAAACGAGAAAGATGGAATTCAGAAAACGTAAAGAAGTCATAAATACGTCATCTTCTTAATTTCACCGTCACGCGGTGAAACTTATAATGGATCGTCGTACTTCCGTCCGACGATCAATGTGCGAATCTTCTATATGTGTGACGTAAGCACACAACGTAGAACGAGTTTGCAATCCAAGTGCCGTAGCTCACGCGGCTCTTACGCGGCGCGGACAGCCGCGGCGGTAAATCTTTATCCACCGAGGATTGATAATGATCAGGGTAGATACTTGGCGTAGCGGCAAAGTGTCGGGCTGTCATTAGTTAAAAATTGCTAAGACGAACGATGATTGCTCGGGACTGAAGCGAACGGGATTACAAAAGCGTGCGCGGCTCGGGCACCGCCGCCGAAATATATATCCGGGATTACCTCGTGCTCTCTCGAGACTCTCGAGAGGGACCGACCGGCTAATTTCGACTTTCGCGAAAGTGCCTCTCTCGCTTGTTTCGGTCGTTTCATTATCGCGAGTGGAAAGGGAGAGAGAGAGAGAGAGAGGAATCCACGGCGCTAATTGACGTTTTCTTGGCCCGGGCGCAACCGCGAGGCTTAACTTAATGTTTCTTTAGGAGCGTCAAAACCGTGAAATCTCGCGGCTGTATTCGTGTGCGAGAGATAATTTCCACCGTGCATTAGTATGAAGTTTATTACACGTGCTGGGTCACTTATCCAATCTTATAATACAAATGTTAATAACCGGACCCTCTTACTGGCGCTCGCCGGTACGACCGGATAATTTCGGCCGCATTTCGCGCAATAATCGTTTGATATTTCGATTTAGCGAGCAATTAACGCTAAGTGTCATTAAGTTATGCCGCAATGTCCGCCACCGCGCCAACCGTTACATCTCTATACGATTAAAGTCGCGTTGCCAGCGAGAGAATTCCTTCCCCGTTCGGCTGATGCAAGAATCCGATAAGGATCGCGGTGAGCGCGATGTGTGGTCTCGCGTGTGTGAATATCCGTTTAATTCCAACGCGCGGTCTTTTGCCCAATACGAGTTCCTCGAGTATGGGAGGCGCCGCCGCTTAGTTAACCGTTCACCCGCAGGAACGATGGCTTAATTAAACGTTGGCGATGCCAGCTATATCGCGTTGTCTCGCTATTTCACATAGGCCTTCTCTCGCGAAGCTTTCGCTTGACCTTTCGACGGCGTTTTCCTAATTATGCGAAAGAAAAGTATCGTGTATCGATAATAACGCAGCTCACTTTACAAAACTACTACAAAATTAAAAAATCAGATCTGCGGATAATAGGAGGCATTTCTTTTTTTTTTTTTCGCTTAAGTTTAAACTGCGAAATCCGATCGTTTGTATCTTCCTTCGGATCGTCTCGTATTTTCTTCATCAATACCACTTTTTTCGCGAATCGCAATAAATAACCGTAAATATTACTTCTTATGTGTGCATCTCGGGGATCTTTGTATTCCGAAAAAAAGAGGTTTAGCGAAGCTAACCGTTGAATGAAGCAAGCCGGTTCCGCGTGCTTTCTGTGTGGTGACGAGTTGTACGGCGCAATTAAATCGAAAGTGTGGTGTACCAGGCGAGGAGGCACGCTCGTATTAACAAGCAGCGAGCGGCGGCGGCGGCGGCGGCGGCGGCGGCGGCGGCGGCGGCGGCGCCGTGAGGCCTGTTTTGCATAAAAATTATAAGCCGAATTAATGTTTTCACCTTCACGTAAGCTCACACGTATACCGCGCTCGCTCAGATTCGAGCGATGCGTGACTAACGCCCGTGCTTTATTGCACGTTCATACGCCTCTCCAACGTCCTGTCCGGTATTTTCTCACGCGCGATTCCTCGCTACGAAATTATTATTGATGCAATTCTAATCTGACAATTCTGACAATTCGCGAAACGTACTGTAAAGTTATTTACAGCATTAGTCAGTTTATATCGCGCCACGTCAAAATAGCACACTCGTGGCATTAAGAGATACATTAAGTACCTGTTGCAATAGAAATTCATCTACTCGATTGCTATCAAATACAAATACAACTTGTCAATTTTTACGAAATAACACGAAATAAAAATTTAACAATCTTTTTTTTGTGTTAGATGCAATCGAGTCTTAATTACAATGATCGTCGGAAAGTTTTCGTGAAAAATTTTCTTAATGTGAAAAATTCAATCGAAAAAGATATTAAATTAAATTTAAATAAAATTATTAATAAATTTATATAAATTATTAATAAATTAATAATTTTATTTTAATTTAAATAAAATTTAAATTAAAATAAAATTATTTTTAACTCGTGATTTTAATGTAAAAAGATTGTGTTAGATGTGCAAATAGTTTATGTAGTCTCGTAATTTTCGTTGCAGGTGGTTTGGCTGACCGCAGTCCTGTGCCCGCGGCTTATTGCCGCCAACAATTTGAGTTCATCCCACTCTTCTCGAAGGCCCAAGGATCATCCCTACAGAGGACATATCTCTCACTGGTGAGCAAAAATTTCTGAATAAAACACGAAGGAATAATAATAGGTTTATTCGCGTTGCTTGCATTTTCCTCTACTCGCGTTTCTCGTTCGCTCTCCAACATACGTTTATTTTACTTTTAGTGTAAAAATACTAGGAAGTACGAGCAACACGAGCAAATCTAATGCGAGAAAATATTATCAGGTTTACCTTACAGTTTATATAAAATTAATCTCTTTTAATATTTTAAGATCGAAACTATGTATTAAGGTGTACAATTAACCTTGTATTACGTGTTTTCGATAATCATGGCTCATTTAATATTCGTGAACGATTGCTTTAAAACATGGTGCGCGTTTCATTCGCTTTATTAATCGCGAGAAGTTCGCTATCTTAATTATTATCACTGGTGTGCATAAAATGCTAATAATGTATACGAAACGAAGTAAAATATCATGTTCCGCGGAATTTTTTTAAACTGCTACAACATTCTACCACGTAATTTAGATACGAGTTACTAACGCAGTCGGCATGGGAGGAATATCGACGTTTCCCTCGATGGCGAGCAGAATCCGATTTAAATTTAACGGGGCACGTTGCGGCGTAGAAGTGTGCTTTATTATTTTTTACATATATTTTCCATTAAGTCGCCTGTTAACACGGCGATCGTACGTGTGATTAGATGACGATTAGAATTTTATCCCAAATTTCTGTTTTGAATAACACCTGCCTGCGCTCTCTCGAATAAAAATTAGTCGAACGAAAATGCATTTGATTAGGAAATGGTGTCGATTAAAAATGGGAACTATTTAAGTTAATAGAAATATTCGCCGTTGCAATTCGCAGGGCAGAGGAGACGACGAACTACAAGCGGATGACATATCGGAAGATGCAGACGATTCTACGTGAGGAAGGGGGTGAGGACGGCCTCCCGGTCGACTGCTGTCCCACGGTGGAGGAAATGGTGGAACCGGTCGGCGGTCGAAATCGACAAGACATGTACGTCGAGCTCTATCGGAGCGGCAAGGATGCTCAGAGATTCTTCGAGTACTCCTGTAAGGAAGACGTCGTCGACAAGCCGTGCAGGTTCGTCGACTGGAAGTTCAGGAACCAGTCCAGATGCGTGCAAAAGTTCTCGTACGTGTACGCTATCATCGAGAGTCCTGAGAGAGTAAATACTGAACCAAATACTGCACCACCAGAGGTATGGTCGAAACACCGAGTTTCCGTCATCAAAAAGCGTAATTTTTTTTTTTTCAAGAAAATTATATGTCAATATTTTTTCGATTGTACTGTATACTTTTGCAATTATCAATTTATTTGAAAAATTTTTATGTAGTTACTAGAAAATTTTGAGATCTGTGACTGGACTTCAAAATTATTGAGAAATATTGATTATATTGGAATCTGTCGTTCAGATTGAAGTAGAGGAGCACAGAAGGCATCACCATAGGGAACACCATCACTTTCCCTCGCCTCTCAACATCGTGAACGGGACGGGATGGACGTTGGATTATATCAGGGTGCGAAGCGGCTGCAGCTGCGAGATCGTGCCGAAGCCGAAGAAGAGGAAGATCACAGCGATCAAGGCGAAGAAGACGAAGAGCAAACAACATCAACCAAAGGACCAAGGACCGGACTTTGACACGTGAAAGTGTCGATTTGCGTTCTAATGACAGTAATTGTGCCGTGTAATTGTGTTGCGACAGAAGAATGACACGTGCGAATGCGAGATTACGTACAGGACGTGAGAATGTGTGCGTAAAGAGTATTCCTAATCGCCGGATTGCAGATGCAATGAAAACGTTACCAACGATCATATCATCGATTTTTCTGATAACAATTACATAACAATAATTTATTAGACATTATCGTGGGCATAAAAATGCGTTGTTTCGCGAACGACGCGTTTGCTGTGGATCAATCGATTCGTACTCCTTGGTGCTTCATTTACAAATATTCTTCTTAGTTACATTTTAAATATCTTTATTTATTATCATTTATTTTTCAATAGGAAATTTTTGCTAAATGTAAATACAATTTGTTAAATTTCGTCAAACTATTTACCGATTTTGAAATTACGATCTTTGAAATTACAATAGCAAATTGGTTGTCAACAATCACTAAATTGATATAATTTTCGTAAATATACAAATATAATAGTTGTAGACTGATGTCACGATTCGAGAACGATATTTCAAAATAATAATATATTCAGATCATTTCATTAATTTTTAATAAAGTAGGCATATATCTCAATGCGCGTTAATTTAATGCTTTAGTTTAATTAAATCTAATTTTCACTTTATTGGCGGCCAGTTTTCATTCTGTACTTTTTTTCTGTATATTATAAATTTGTATATATCCGACGATATAACGAGAATTTATATAAAATATATGGTGTTTCAATTAATTAGAATCTGATTCACAGCATCTATGTACAGATCTGCGAGGCACGTTGTTATATCGATAACGAAGATGCAACACAAAGAATTATAGTATTACTAAAATTTATTTAATTAAATTGGTAAAAGTATAATTTTACTTAAACACTTAAAACTTTAAGAAGAGCATTGATTAGATGACGTGCCAACAGCCATGACAATTATCAATAAATCTGATTACTATAAGAAATGCGAAAAATTAATTATATGAAATTGGTAAGATTAAGTTTTTTGCGTAAATTTTCATTGCGCGTCGACACGATGCGTATAAGTTAAAAATATGTATATTATACTAAAAATTAAAAAATGTTTTTATTTTTCTCTTGTAAATACTTATATTGCACATTGATAATCTTGATCACTCCTGGCATTACTACGATGTGCAATGCAAATTCATGAATATTTGCAGTTTTAATTTACATTTACTTGCAAAATAACTCTATCTTAGCGTATTAATTCTGAAACATCTTTAATACACAGTTGTATATATTTTTGCGAGAAATAAACAATTTGCTGTTTTATGTCTATGTATGTTTCATAGTAATAACATGTTTTTTAATTACTTTTAATATATACATCTTCATTATACTGCCGTATTGATACTTTAAGTGACTTCTAGTTGATAATATTTGTTGTATTATAAATATAACATGATAAACATGCAAACATGTTTTCCGTATCGCCGTGTAAACATTGTAAATAAATTAATATACTTGTTATAAAATGATAAATTGATTCGATAGTATATTTTTCTTTCTATTAAGTGATCCCTTTAAAGTGATATAAAATACTGAAAATACATATAGAGATAATGTATTTAACATAAATATTTACGAAACGTAAAATGGAGAAGATTCGTCTTTATCTCATGTCTCTACGGCTATTTTTTAAGAAGTTACAGCTCTTTAAAAATCCGTAGGTGCGCGGATTTGAAAAAATCGTGAAAAAAATGCTATACGTATTTTTTGTTTGGATGTTCACACTTTTCTGCCTTCCCAAGAAAGGGTGAAAACACGTGTCGTACGAGCGCTTTGATAGTATGCCATCACCGTAAAAACGTATGTCTGCGCCATCTATTGGATAGATTAATATTGTCAATATCTTCATCAGAGAGGTTTCTCTCTGATTGTGTAAGCAGCATGGACACACACCAGAATGGGATTTTATCGACAATGTCAAAAAATGGAAGTGGCTACTTAATTCCAATATACTAAAATGGGGGTGCTAGTATACAGCGGTTTTTCCCATGAAAAAGGTCGGAATAAGGCTCTCAAGCTTCATCCTGATACGAGTAATTTTTTACAGGTCTCAGTCCTGATCTTGGATTCTGATCCTATGAAAAAAATCGACATTGCTTTTTAATAAAGTTAAATTCAAAATATTGCAATGAATATGAAAGATGATAATAAGATGAATCGTTCAGGACGGAAAGCGTAATCATCAGAGCAAGCGATCACTTGACGATTGAGTATTAACGAGATATCCCGTCAGTCGTCAGTGTCGCTCGCGAAGATTTATCCCTTCCCCTCGTTTTTCTCACGCGCGCTTCTGCAAAGTGGACGGTCGAGGAACGAGCTGCGGCGAGGAGCACGGTAGGATGTCGTCGTAGACCGCTATAGGCTACAGTTGCAACGCGTCGTCGTCATTCGTGCGTCCTTTGACATATCGTTCACGCGTCTCGGTGGGGATCGTGAAGATCCGGTGCGCTCGAAGGAGAGAATCGCGATCGGCGGCAGTTTGCGACACGGTGAAACCGCGCCCGACGAAGCGCTGCTCCGCCGCCGCACGCGTTGGCGCGAAGCGACGCGACGCGATTAAATGAGACGGGGCAGTATCTCGATAAGTACTACGTCTGGTGCGCGAACATGTCTGCGGAGACCGCCTTGAACGACGTGCCGAACGTCGCGGCGAGGCTGCAGAGCCTGCGACTGACGGCACACGGCGAGGACGAGCGCGACATGGCCGAGAACGCGGCGGCTGGCGGCTCGACGACGACGACGACGATGACGACGATGACGACGACGGCCAGCGGCAGCGCCGACGGCGGCGGGTCGTCGTCGTCGCGGGAACCACTGCGAAATATCACCCTCTCCGGGGCACGGCGTGCGCTTAACTTCGTCGGCGACGAGGACCAGCCACTGAGCTCGGCGTCCGCCGCGCGAAGCGAGACCTCGCTCTCGAACGGCGATAAGTAAGTACCTTTATTCCGCCATCACCCCATGTCAAATAATATTGTTGAGTTGATATCGTTTACTCAAAGTTTCTCTCCAAATGTTAATTCGAAACGTTAACTTTACTTCGGCGAAATTGTTAATATTTGTTATCTGATATAGCTCTACTCGGTGCTTTCAGTCGGCCACCCACTAATGCAGCAAATACATCATATTTGGATGGGCGAACGCAGAATAATGCTACTTTGGAAAACTCTTCCACGCAGAATCAACCTGCAGTTATGTACAATTGGCAAGGTACAAAGGCAACGATGCGCGAAAGAATTGTATTCCTATTTAACAATGAGATACTGTCGGATGTGACTTTCCTGGTGGGAAGAGGAGCGCAACAACAACGTATACCAGCTCATAAACTAGTCCTGTCCTGTGGAAGCGCTGTATTTGACGCAATGTTTAATGGAACGCTTGCGACAGCTTCTTCGGAAATAGAAGTACCTGATGTAGAGCCTGTTGCATTTTTGGCAGTGCTACTTTTTCTATATACTGATGAAATACAGATAGATCCTGAAACTGTGATGACAACGTTATACACTGCTAAGAAATATGCGGTGGCTGCTTTAGAGAAGCATTGCGTTGATTTTTAAAAATAATTTAACAAGTGATAATGCTTTCTTGCTGTTGACGCAAGCCCGCCTGTTTGATGAACCACAATTAGCCTCGGTATGTTTGGATACCATTGACAGATTTACAACTGAGGCCTTCAATGCAGATGGATTTACAGATATTGATATTGACACATTGATGATAGTCTTAGAAAGGGATACTCTTCGTGTTAGGGAATCTAAACTATTTCAGGCAGTCCTAAGGTACATTGCAACACAATTGTAGATGAAATATTTATACTATATCTTACGCTATACACATTGTATATTATATAATTTTCTATTTTTGAATATTCTATTCTTGAATAGGTGGTCTGAGGCTGAATGTGTAAGGCAGCAATTATCGGTTACTCCAGAAAATCAACGTTTGGTTCTAGGCGATGCTTTGTCTTTGGTTCGTTTTCCACTTATGTCAAAAGAAGAATTCACGGCAGGTCCAGCGCAATCTGGCTTGTTAAATTATTCAGAGGCTAGTATTGCAATATTCTTTGGATATATACATCTTATATTACAAATTATTATATTTGAACTAAAGAGTTTATACTTTGAATATTATTCACAAGAGCTATCATGTAACATTTAACAATTAAATTTTATAGGTCTTATCTTTATTTTCATATTTTATATTGAATCCCAAACCTTCAGTGGGATTTCAAACAATGCCACGATGTTGCATGACGGGCAAGGAACAGACTGTATGCAGGTTTCAACATACTAAAAGTAGATGGGGATATTTTGGAACCAGCGATCGTATTCGGTAAAACATAATCTGTATTCTATGCATATGATTAAATTAATGATGAAAATGTCCGATATCATAAAGTATTCTAATTCTTGCAGATTTAGCGTGGATAGACGAATCTTTCTGATCGGTTATGGAGTTTACGGTAGTACACAAGAGCCAGCAATATATGAAGTGACAGTCGAATTAATCCACACTGCATCGGGAAAAGTGATAGCTACAAATGCAACAAGTTTTAGCTGTGATGGATCAAAGTACACATACCGTCTAATGTTCAAAGAATTAGCGGAAATCTTACCAAATACAATTTATACGGCATCAGCAACTTTCAAGGTTATTATATGTTGTATTTCGCCAATTTATAAATAAATAAATAAAAATATATAGTATAGAATTATAAATTACATGTTTATTTTTCAGGGGCCATATTCATATTATGGCACAAAAGGAATGAAAACGGTGTTGGTCGATTGTGATTCAGGAAATGGGAAAGTGAAATTTAAATTTAGCAGCGAATTGGGAGATAATAATGGCACATCTACTGAAGAAGGTCAAATACCCGAGCTTATCTTTTACACGTAATATCATTCGCGTACAATAACATTCCTGACTTGACTGAACATCAGATTACAAATTATGTAAAAAGTATGCCGAATTTTGTCAATTATATATATCTTGTGATTTGATTTAAGTGATCATCTATGGGCATGCCAAAGGAGTTAACCCAAGATTTTTTCATAATTTTATAGATAATATCTCTTAATTTCATTAAATAGTATGTTTGATAAATTCATCAGTTAGAAATATGCAAATCTTATGACAGTATTTGTATATATATCATTAATGTTATATACATTCTGATCTTTCACAGAAGATATTACGGAATATATTTGTCTTTTAAAAATTTAAGTATTAAAATTATTTTTGGATTTTCAGCTATAGTTAATACGTTAATTATTAATTAATTATACAAGTAAGCTTGATGTTTAGAATTGGAGATGTACAATCTATTTTTCTATCGTTTTAATTGACATCATTGTAAACCAAAAATATAGTTGTATAACAATGTTAAAAAAAGATGGAAATAAGTACAAGAAGGAGTTTAATCGTACATACATTCTGATTTTGCCTAAAATATTTCTCATTCGGAATATCTATATCAATATAATTTGAAACCGTAAGTAGTTTAATATATAGCACTTCTCAATGCAAAAATAATTAATGCAATAAAAGCCTAAAGCATGTGGAATATTTTTTAGTAAAAGTTAGTATTTTAATAGTTGTCACTTACACAATGCGTAAAGCAATGTAGAATTTGAAAAAATCTTGTTACTAATGCGAAAAGTAGTATCAAACGAAAGTAACATAAAACACCATTTTTTATTCTCTAATAAAGTAAGATTATCATCTATTTCGACAATTTATTTAAATGCTAACAGTATTTAATGTATTTCTTTAACACGCGATTTAAGAAAATACATTTGAAGTTTGACTTTTATTAATAATGAATGGTGCTAGCTAATGAGATAACATTGTTATCCTTAGCATTTAGAAATAAGCATAGATGTATAAGTTTGTATTGTTTTTCTTGAGAGTTAGCGCGATATATGATTTCATTTGTGATTATATCTTAATTATAAATGGAAAAGATGTACGTGTAATGTTAAATAACTAAATAGATTTATTCAGCAAAATATTTTTTGTAACATTAATATCACCCTCCTTTAACGCAACTTATTCGTTCAAAATTATTAAAAATTTAAAATTATTAAAAAATGTTAAGTACTTTTCAAAGAGAAAATTTTTTATTATCGAGAGTATATCGATTGTATATTGGGAATATAAAAAATTCTCATGACTTAACAAATTTTTTATAGACTAAATTTTCCTGTATAAAAATGTTGCAATTGAAATATTTATGTACCTCATTGTTTAAATTTCTTTGGACTGTCCACTACGCAGATTTGCAACATCTAAAATATTGGTGCGTTCCGAAACTCACCCAGGAAGCCTTTCGATTCTTTCCGCAAATGTAGTAAGTCTGTAACTGGCATCGGTTCGTAATTAAGCGAATTTTTATTATATTTTATTTAAACGATATTTATCTACCGGTACGTGAGGAGTACTTGATCGCTGTAGATCTTGGTGACTCGACCATTTAAAATAATCGCCCGCTGTACAAGATGCGTGCGTTCATGATGTGCGATTGTCGAACCCTTTTATATTGAATCCTAACCTATTGCTCCAATGATTTATGAGCTTTGATGTTTGGCAGTACTTTATGGCGCGTGCTGAGACAAATCGTTACATTCTTTCCTTCTGGATTCGTTAATCTGACTTATTTGCAAGTAAGATCCGCAATCTGCGAAAATGTTGGGGTCATGAGAATTACCACATTGCTTCCAGTAGCTTATATCTCATCTCTATGGCTAAAGGAGGAAAAATAAGAGGTTCTGACGCCAATAATAAGGTACTGCATATATGATTTATGTGAATGGCTTTAGCAGTAGATGT